GGGCACCAGGGGATGCGTGAGGTTCTTTTTTGTCCCTTCTAACTTCCATGGGGCACAATAAATAAGCTCTACAGCCGATTTTTGAGATATGGAATTAAATTTCTTGTAGGCACAATGTACAGGCAGCTCTTATTCTCTGGTCTGTTGGGGTACATCCCACGATTTATCTCCCTCACAAAACTCTAAGGACGAGGCAGTGAAAACCCTCAAGATTGAGGTTCAATTTTTTTTTTTGTAAAATAAGCTCCATCACGCGCGAGCCAATAATTTAATTTTTCTCACCAACTAAAATTACGTTGAATCACTTTATCTAAAAGTTTAACTCCTTAAAAAATAGTAACTTATTTATTCAAATTATATTTTCTATGTGTACCCTCACGTTCAAGTTGGATTTACTTTTATCGTTCAATTAACGTCTATTATAGGCACGATTTTTATAAAATAGGTGATAGCGAGACTTATCCACCTAAACTATTTCCAAACATATAATTTAATCTAAAATTTGGAATCTCAACCATGTCAAACCATATGTTGCACGTTTCAATTTCCAGCCCGTACAAATTGAAAAAATGGGCAAATGAAAGTAAGGGTGCTTGGAATTGATATTTATGTACATTTTGTTCGCATCCACCCATATTTGTACGATGAATTGAAACTTCAGACAATAATTTAGGTTTCGAGTTTGTCAAAAATGTCAACCAAATGGCCAATTAATGTTAAAGTTTTCAAATCTTCCAAGGCTAGATTAATGTCAAGGAATAATTTAAAGTCGTCTAAATACAATGTTAATGGTTAACATATAAGAATTCGTACTACTTGGATAGAACTTGATGAATATATATATATATTTTCTATCGAAAGTTTAAAGTTTGAATTTTATTACTACTTGGGATGACAATTTACCCCGCCCCGAACGGGTTGGCGGGGAGGCCGAACCCGTCCCGTGAAGAAAAAAATAAAAATAATTTAAAAATAAATTTATTTCTAGACAATTTATCTGTTAAAAATTTATTTTGAATTTGTATTTCATTCTCTAATAATAACATAATTCGAAACTTTTAAATTGAAAAAAAATTTAAAAAATTAAACGGGGCAACAAACGGGTCAAAAAGTTGCCCCGTCCCGTCTAAGGTGGGGCTAGGCGTGTCCCGCCCCGAACCCATCCCGTTGCCATCACTAATTACTACATTCATAGTCTCTGTCATTCCTTTTTGTAAGTAGGCCTTTATTATTATTATTATTATTTATTATTATTATTATTATTTTTTAATTTCTATCCCTCTTCCTCAATTAGTTAAAAGTAATCTCATTAGTGTTTAGAATATTTTCCAAGATCACACCACCATTTCTTCCCCGGTAACGATTATCTAGGCTCTCAACAGACTAAAGATCATAATAGGAATTTGATATTTACACGTTAGAATATTTTCAAAATACTCTCTATTTCTAAATGTCATATTTTGTAATTTAGAGTGTATTTATATATTTTTAAGTACTCCAACAGATTTTTTATATTTAATACATAAATTTATTACTTTGAAATAATATTTATTTTATTTCTATCTATTACTTTCACTAGTTTTTGTCCAAATTATTGTATTATTTCCCTTCATTTAAAATTAGAATACTTCGAATGCATTTAATTATAGAAAATAAGATTGACTATCTACATTTTTCGAAAGCTAAACTCTCTTTTTATTTCAAAATTTTATTTTAAAGAGTCTCTCGTTAAATAAATTTAAAGCTGACTCTTTAAAATAGATATATCTTCTTGAATATACTTTTATTGTTAAATAATAGTAAAATGTAAAGCTTATGAAAAATTATCAGCCATTTATTGTCATATATGTCAGTTCTCCTTTTTCTCCTAATTTATAGATGTTAGCCCGCCACTACAAAATTTATTATAATAAAAAAAGGTTTACAAGAGAAAATTACTCACCTATTTTCTCTAATATCTCTCTCTATTATGATGACGATCAAAAAGTTTAATGACAACTCTTTACTTATAAGACAAATTAGGGTAAAATAAAAAATTTAAAATGATTCAAATTTCTAAGACGAAATTTATAAGAACACAAATTCCTAAACTTCCTTAATGAAACTTTTGTTGGGGTATCCAGATGGGGGGGGGGGGGGGGGGGGGTTTTTTTTGTCCCTTCTAACTTTCATGGCGCCACAAAAAATAAGCTCCACAACTGCACAATTGTACCTTTCACATGTGCAAGCCAATTATTTTATTTTTCTCACCAACTAAAATTACGTTGAATCACTCTATCTAAAAGTTTAATTCCTTAAAAAATAGTAATTTATTTATTCAAATTATATTTTCTATGTGTACCCTCACGTTCAAGTTAGATTTAATTTTATCGTTCAATTAACGTCTATTATAGGCACGATTTTTATAAAATAGGTGATAGCGAGACTTATCCACCTAAACTATTTCAAAGCATATAATTTAATCTAAAATTTGGAATCTCAACCATGTCAAAACATATGTTGCACGTTTCAATTTCCAACCCGTACAAATTGAAATAATGGGCAAATGAAAGTAAGGGTGCTTGGAATTCATATTTATGTACATTTTGTTCACTTGCTACCTATATTTGTACGATGAATTGAAACTTCAGACAATAATTTAGGTTTCGAGTTTGTCAAAAATGTCAACCAAATGTTAAGGAATAATTTAAAGTCGTCTAAATACAATGTTAATGGTCAACATATAAGAATTCGTACTACTTGGATAGAACTTGATGGAAAAGAAAAAAACATATTTTCTATTGAAAGTTTAAAGTTTGAATTTTATTACTACTAGAGATGACAATTTACCCTACCCCGAACGGGTTGGCGGGGAGGCCGAACCCGTCCCGTGAAGAAAAAAAATAAAAATAATTTTATTTCTAGACAATTCATCTGTTAAAAACTTATTTTGAATTTGTATTTTATTCTCTAATAATAATATAATTCGAAACTTTCAAAATGAAAAAAAAAAAAAATTAAAAGAGGCAACAAACGAGGCAAAAAGTTGCCCCGTCCCGTCTAAGGTGGGGCTGGGCGCGTCCCGCCCCAAATCCACCCCGTTGCCATCACTAATTACTTCATTCATAGTCTCTGTCATTCCTTTTTGTAAGTATGCCTTTATTATTATTATTATTATTTATTTATTTTTTTTTTTAAATTTCTATCCCTCTTCCTCATTTAGTTAAAAGTAATTTCATTAGTGTTTAGAATATTTTCCAAGACCACACCACCATTTCTTCCCTGGTAACGATTATCTTGGCTCTCATTGTTGACTAAAGATCATAATAGGAATTTGATATTTACACGTAAGAGTATTTTCAAAAAACTCTCTATTTCTAAATGTCATATTTTGTAATTTAGAGTGTATTTATATATTTTTAAGTACTCCAACAGATTTTTTATATTTAATACATAAATTTATTACTTTGAAATGATATTTATTTTATTTTCTATCGATTACTCTCACTACTAAAAAACATGGCTTCAGGCACGAATTTTCCATTCCTAAACCCTTGATATCCGTTGCTATTACTCTTCACCAACAGAATATTTGCAACCACAAATCCGTTGTTAATTTAGGGGTTGCTGATAGTTACCAATAGATTATATCATAGGTAAAGAATAAACATTTTACGAATGAAAATTTTGCTGGTAATGTGTGAATTTTTTACCAACGAAATTTTCGTTGGTAAAAATCTTTTGTCCCTTATCACTTTCATGGCAATTCCGTTGGTAAAAATCTTTTGTCCCTTATAACTTTCATGGCGCCACAAAAAATAAGCTCCACAACTGCACAATTGTACCTTTCACATGTGCGAGCCAATTATTTTATTTTTCTCGCCAACTTAAATTATGTTGAACTACTTTATCTAAAAATTTAACCCCTTAAAAAATGGTTTACGGGGATAAGTCTAGCACATTGAGGGTAAACTTATTTATTCAAAATTGCAAATTATATTTCCAATGTGTACCCTCACATTCTAGTTAGATAAACTTTTATCGTTCAATGTCTAATACATGCACGATTTTTATAAAATAGGTGATAGCAAGACTTATCCACCTAAACTATTTCAAAGCATATAATTTAATCTAAAATTTGAAATCTCAACCACGTCAAAACATATGTTGCACGTTTCAATTTCCAACCCGTACAAATTGAAAAAATGGGCAAATGAAAGTAAGGGCGCTTGGGAATTGATATTTATGTACTTGTGTTCACTTGCTACCTATTCTTGGCTGTCATTGTTGACTAAAGATCCTAATATGAATTTGACATTTACAGTTTCAAGACACTCTTTACTTTTAAATAATATATTTTATAATTTAGAGTGTATTTATATATTTTTAAGTACTACAATAGATTCTTAATGTTTAACACTTAAATTTGCTACTTTGAATTCAACAAATTCTTTATATTTAACACCTAAATTTGCTACTCTAAAATAATATTTATTTTACTTTTTTTTTCACTAGTTTTCGTTCAAATTATTATATTATTTCCCTTCATTGAAAATTAAAATAATTTGAATACATTTAATTGCAGAGAGTGAAATCGACTATCAAAATTTGGAAAGCTAAACTCTCACTTTATTTTAAAATTTTAATTTAAATAGTCTCTCGTAACATAAATTTAAAACCGATTCTTTAAAATAAAGATATCTTCTTGAAGATACTTTTACGAAAAATTATCAGCCATTTATTGTCATATATGTCAGTTCTCCTTTTTCTCACGAGTACCACAAATGACACACAAACAGCGCAGCTGTATGGTATTTAATAATTGTAGAAGAATTAAAAAAGAACAAAAGCTTTGTTCTACATATGTCTTATCGACCCTTCACAGGGGTCGGTCCCACACGAGTCCTGATGTAATAAAACATGAAGAAAAAAATTCCGACCCCACCCTTTTGTAATGTCTGCTCATTAAAAAAAGGAAAAAGGAAAAAATGGAAAAGTCCCTTGTGCACTCTATAAATGAAGCAGTGGAAATATGCAGGCCCTTATTATGTAGAAAACCAGAAGAAAACAATTAGCAATGGCAAGAAACGAGAGTAAAATCCTTATAATTGGAGGAACAGGTTACATTGGCAGCTATATGGTGAAGGCCAGCATCAAATTAGGCCATCCCACTTATGTTTACTCAAGGCCAAACTCCTCCAAGAAAGAATCGCTTAACGAGTTTGAGTCGATGGGCGCTCTTATTGTCAAAGTATGTAATTTCTAACTTTCCAGTGTCGGGTTTTATACACTCCAAAGTGATATTTACTCGTAAATCTTAATGTGCATGTAGGGAGAGTTACAGGATCATGAGAAGCTTGTTTCAGTGATTAGGGAAGTAGATGTGGTGATCTCTGCAGTAGCTTATCCTCAAGTTCTTGATCAACTCAACATCATAGAGGCTATCAAGGTTGCTGGTGGCATAAAGGTACACCCCAAATCATTTAAGGAAAAAAATGACAATTATTAAAACAAATGTAAAAGAAAAAGGGACATTAATTTAATGATCCACCCTAACTTTTTAATATTTTAAGTGGATTGTACTGGTCATTATGAGATTAATATTTTGTGAAATATTTAATAATTTTTTATTTTTTAACCACTAAACCGGCATGTCTTATTGAAAAGGAGGATAAAATCGAATACAGATTGAAGGGTTCTCGGCTTCACTTTCAACTAAATCTAAAGGTGCAAGAAGATAAACTGCAAAGAGTTCCTAATTTTCTACGTATTTAAAGATTTTTTGCTTGGAAAATTAGTTATAAAGAACTAATTAAGGCCTTTCCCATTTGTTTTTCACCAAGGTCGTATATTGAACCTCAACATCTCAAAATGATTATCGTTTCTCGTTCAAACTATGTTAGATTACCAGTAAACTTGTATTTGAAGATCCATTTCGCTACAAAGTTTTAGCTTTTTGGTACAAAGGTACGGGAGAATATTGAATTTAATCGTATTGTACACTTATTAGCTCGACATGTTACGGTCTTTGGGTCAATTGTGCAAGAGGAGTGGGAGACTTGTAACCTTTTCACCATTATAGTTTAAACCAGCATGTGTGTGGGCCCACAGTGGATCCTTGTGGGTCACTTGACCTGCCAACTTAAAATTTATTTATTTATTTTTTTGTTTCCTCATAAATCAGATTTGAAGCCTTAGGAAATTATTTCTTTTTGATGATTTCTTTTGTATTTTCTTATGAAATGGAATTAGGGATTTCTTTGAGTGTTCCAAATTCTATCTTGTTTTGACGATTTTATGGTATTGGATTCTTGCAATGATTTTTTTTGTCTTTATTTGAACTGTAATGTAGTTGATAATGTAACATTCAGAATTTGCTATGATTTTTGTATTTTTCACTTGAATCGATTGTTTTCATTAATTGTGATGGAAAAATAATTAAAATGTAAATATGGTTTATCTTTTGATGACACATTGTTAATGAAAAGATTATTCGATATAAAAGTGATGAAAATGATGTTTTAGATAAAAAAAAAAAAATGACAAACTTGGTGATATTTGAGATAAACATATTTGTATTCTTTGCGTGTTTGATTGTGCCCCACCAACTTAAAATATTTGCGTCCGCCACCGTGTGTGAACTTTGCTCCTTTTATCATCTCTCAATTTAATTGATATAAAACTTACCATCCTTTATTGAAATTTAACTTGTTTAAATGCTGAACCTTAAATGAATTGAATGGAGTAATGAAAAACAATTCATTCGACTTCAAATTGTAGAGAATAAGACTCGTTTTATTGTCGTTGCAGAGGTTTCTTCCATCAGATTTCGGCTGCGAAGAGGACAGAATCAGTGTGCTGCCTCCATTCCAAGCATTCCTTGACAAGAAGAAGAAAATCAGAAGGGCAATAGAGCAAGCAAATATTCCATACACTTTTGTGTCTGCGAATTGCTTTGGTGCATATTTCATAAATTACTTGCTTCATCCACATGAACTAAAGGAGGAGATAACTGTATATGGCAGTGGTCAGGCCAAAGGTAAATCCAAAAAGACTACAAGCTCTCAAAATAATTTTTTATTTTATTTACAAAAAAAAAAAAAGAAAAAAAAAGAAGGAAAATTGGTGTCCAAGTGATTATAAGTACATAAACTAAGCAAAACTCAGGGTATACGATGCAATTAGAGTCGTTACAGTCCAACCTCAACGGTCACAACTGCCCATAACTAGGTAACTTCACGGAACACAATCTTCTACAAAAAATAACCCTCTTTAGATTACCCCGTCCACAATGAGAGTCATCCGTAGAGGTGTTTGCTTTGACAATTTACAAAGAATTTTGCTATTTGTATATTAATTTTTGATATTTTGATTGACACTTGTATTGTTGTCAAATATCAATCGGATAAAAAATCTGTTTGAAATTTAAACTATTTAATAGGATAATGTCACATTGCAAAGTGTACATCATAGTGTATATGTAGCAAGATTCATTTACAAATGCATTGGGTATATAACCAACCCTTAAAGCAACTTATAAATGGAGGTTGGCCATGGTTATGATCCCAGAAACAAAGCATTCAAGTTAACTATGTTGGATGCAATTAGATTCATTACTTCTCTCCATTTAGACGTAGATGTTGCAAAATACCAAATGAAATGGCAAATAAAGATTTATATAGCTTCGAATTAAATGTATTGAGAATAAGGCGCCACGAAGATAGCATGGTGGCACCTCGACGTCATCTCTCTTGATGATTTCAGTACTGTACCTCCTTTAATATTTTCATCATAACTTTCTTTATCGAAATCTGTTTGAGGTGATTTAAAATAGGCTGTAAAGATAACTCAAAGGGTTATAATTTTACTAGATATAGATCTTTTCCAATTTGAATGTTTACTAGATCAAAAATGGGTCTCAATCTTCAACTGAAAATCTAGAACATCTTTGTGCGGTTGAAAATTGACTTGTAAAAATATTTTGATCATATTTCACTCCTCTTGACTTGTAATTATATCCGATTGACCCATAGCATTTTTGAATCTTCACTGTGAGGTTTAACACAACTTTTGAATATTTACACTTTAGTATCCAAACTTTAGATCTGACCATTTTTTGCTTGTTTCTTTTAATTTCAGTTCTATTCATCGAGTTTCACATAATAAACGAAATATACAATAAATTTATAATTGTTCAAAAGAACTAGTCTATATTTCTAGGTCCAAATAAGTGTATACAATACACTTATCAACTCATTTTGTTATCATTGTTGTTTCACTCCATTCAATCTATTTCTACATTTGTTCACCAAAAAAACTCATTTTTTCCCCATGTTTTATACGTTCAAGCTGTGCTGAATTTTGAAGAAGATATTGGAATTTATACTATAAAAGTGGCAACTGATCCAAGGGCATGCAATCGGGTTGTTTTATATCGGCCTCCAACCAACATTATATCGCAGCTGGAATTGATCTCTTTATGGGAGAAGAAAACTGGTCGGACTTTCAAGAAAATTCATGTCCCTGAGGAAAAAATTGTCACTCTTTCAAAGAGTAAGTCATCTTTTTCCCATTCAGTTTTACATCAAACTGCAAAAGTATTTTTTCCAATTCGATGATGTTTTATATATTTCCTATTGAATGTGAAATACCAAATGACATGTCTTCAACAAGTAAATCTGATGTTTGACAAAATAAATAAGTTTGATTTACTTTTAAGGACAACTAAACATAACTCTTAGATAAGGAGTATATTTAGCTAAGTGGAAAGTTAGTTTTAAGTAGTTAATTTAGGGAAGTATGTTTAAGGTTTTTGAAAAGTTGCTATCTTTCTCGAACTTTTAGTACAAAATCTCGTTATGGTATACTTTTCGTAAGCTTGACCACAACCCTAAAAGTCTACCATTTTCCGTGTATCTTTTCATTTTGCTTTCAACCTACTTTCAAGTTTTGTTGTACTCTTTCTTATACTTCTGAGGATTCAATTTGGTACAATAGCCAAGTGGAGTTATCTAAACGACATTTTTGGCTATTGGAGCTAGACCTCCTGCATTCCTGAAACCTTAAAAGCATGTCCAATGGGCTTGTAGATTGCACTAAAGTGTGTCACATCACCCCAAAATATTTACGTGCAAGGAAAAAGAGTGGAGGACTTGTGGAGGATGACCTCGACAAGCTAATTTTTTATAATTTATCCCCACTCTCACTACATCCTCTTTCTTCCTCATCACCAAATTATGTCAACAATTGTTGTACATGTCCACCACAATTACCCCAATCGACATTATTGCATTGGAGAGGCTTTTCTCCCCATGCATTATAACAATCCACATTGTTACATTAATAATGCCCAAAACTTTGGTGGAGATATATAGCATGCCTTGGTGAACTTTTAAGCGGGTCTAAAAAAGCTTGCACTTGCCCCCTCGAGGCGTAACTCAGTGGTGCAAAGGACATGAGTGAGATAGTCTCAGCCTTGCTGGCAACTGTAGTGTGAGGGTTCAATTCCTGAAATATGGAATTGGACTCCTTGTGGACATTAGTGTACGAACAAGTTCTTGTTCCCTAACCTATTGGGGCACATCCCATGATTTACTTCCTTCACGATGCTCTAGAGACGGGATAGTGGGGGTTCTCAAGATTGGGGTTCAACTTTTTTTCAAAAAAGCTTGCACTTTTTTGATATTTATTGATTTCCTAAAACTTGTCCTTTTGTGAACCTTTATCTCTTGTTTGTAAGGTAAGTTTTACAATGAAATATTAAAAAATAAATTATAATATGAATTGTACTACCTTGTAACATTTGAGATACTCTAAGCTTTGGGGGAGATCCATAGCAAGCTTTGGTGCATCTATCAAAAGAGTTAGAAAAAATCTGACTTCTAAGTGTGGGTCTGAAAATGCTTCCATCCTTTTGAGTTTCTTGATTTTCCAAAACTCGTCTTTTCTACTTTTAAGGAACCTTTATCTCTTGTTTGGTCAGGAAAATTTTGTAAGAATTATACTGTATTAATAGTCTGTTTTGTTTCTTCGGCAGCTTTACCCGATCCAAATAATATACCAGTCTCCATCCTTCACAGTGTCTTCATAAAGGGAGTTACAATGAATTTTGATCTTGGAGAGAATGATATTGAAGCTTCACTGCTCTATCCAGACATTAAGTTCACTACAGTTGATGATCTTCTTGACGTTTTCTTGCGCAACCCACCAAAGCCCGCTTCTGCTGCATTTGAATGAGCCTTAAAGAATGATGTACTCTGAATATGAACATGGAAAGGGACCGCTTTATTCCTTTTTAGTTATTGCCCATATAGCTTCTATGTTAACGTTAGATTCTTATTTTAATATGGGAATTTTTTTATAGATGTCACAAAATTTGAAAGTGCGATGAACTGTAGTGAACTTGGAGAACTTTTTTGGGTGCATTTAATGCTCATTGATGCCATGATTTGATATTTTGACCAAATTTTCTTTTAAAAAAATCTCAGGGCCTGTTTGGTACCCATTTTTTTCAAAATGCATTTTTCTCTCTTTTTTTTTCAACCACACATTCTTTATTAAAATAATATTACACGTAAATAAAAAACTTTTCCTTATTTTTTAACCACACATTTCCCATTAATTTACTATTCAAAAATGCATTTTCCCATAAAAATCTCTACCAAACACCCTCTCAATTCATCTTTCATTTTGAGAGTAGCATTTATGAATTGTTTTCCGTTTTTATCTTATAACTTACTATTTTGAAATTGTTAAATGCAACATGCTTATATTAATTTGCAAATTAGTATCCAGTCATTTGGATTGACTTTACAAATATTTATGAATAAAGATAGTAACATCCTCCTTAAAATGTTGTAAAGGATTGAATGCAATAAAAATTTCATCAATATCCTAACAACTAAAAATGCAGAATGTCAAAATTTAAAAACCATCATTTTTCCATGTCAGTCATGAACATTCATCTATCATTGCCTCTTCATATGCATTTTCGTTTTACCTCATTTATATATCACGAATCCATTTCCTGCAACACCCATTCATTGTCTTTGTTATAATTCTTATCTTGGTTCTTCTTGGTATAAACATACAATTGAGCAACCAAGTTTCATCTGATTTGTAGAATGTTATATGTCTTTGGCATTTCATTTAACTTTTTATTGATGAAGTATTCTGCATACCTAATGACATAAAAGAAAGAATTAAGATAATTAAAGAACTAAACATCGAATAAAAAAAAAATGAACATATCTTTAGAAAGTAATCTAACCCTTTTTTTGTTGAGGAAGTTTTGGAATCATGTTTACAACTAATGGTTTCATAGCATCTTCTTCTGTAATGCCTTTCCCCTCAAAGAAGTCGATGTTTAAAAGTAGAAGAGGAATTTTAACTAACAACACATGCATGTTTCAAGAAAGTGACAGAAATTAAAAAAAAAAAAAAGTGATAAACACTAAAAAAAAATTGACAAACAATAAAAAAAAAAGTGACAAAAATTCAAAAAAGTAACAAACACTAAAAAAAAGTGACAAAAAAATGATAAACATTCAAAAAATTAAAAAAAAAAAAAAAAGTGCCAGAAATTGTATGATCGTGACTGTCTTTGAATAATTAGTATCTATTTTAATTTGTTAAGACTTTTGATAGTATTTAGAAATATAAGCAATTTTCATTCTATTTCTAAAGTTTATAAAATAGCACTTTGTAATAAATATTTAGGTAACGATTTAGCAATTTTCATTCTATTTCAATTAAAAAAAAGTTGCCATTTCTCTCATCTATTTAGGAAACGAGTAGTAATAAATAAAGAACATTAAACTTTGTAATTTTGCAATTAAAGGTATTTGAAATTTGCAGAACCTCTTAACCAACATCCAAAAAGTGAGAAAATATATTTATTTAAGAAAAGTTCTCAAAAAAAGAAAAAAGAAAAAAATGGAGGGCACATTCTGATATATAACGCTGCTCACTGGCTTTCTCATAATGAGCCAAGGCAATCAAGAGCATTTAAATCACACATTTAACTAATTGTGCTACTATTCCTATCTCCAAACTGTCTAGTTGAAAGAATAATTCATGTACAAACTTTTAGGGGCATCTAAGGATGACAATTGGGCTTGGGTCTCTCGTGGCTCGGAAGCACCAAGCCAAAACTCGGGTTGAGCCTCATTTTTTAGAATTGGCTTGAACCAGGCTGGCCCGTATCATTAAAAAAAAAGAAAAAAAAAAGAGGAAAAATCTGCTGCCTGTTTGGCAGCTAAAATAGTTGCCAAACAGGCAATTAAACTGCCTTAATCGGCAGCTATATCAAGCTGCGAACCGGTAGCAAATCTGCTGCTGGTTGACAACAGATTAGCTACCTGTTGGCAGCTAAAATAGCTGCCAAATAGGTAGCAAGATGTATAAAAAAAAAAAAAAAATTCAGAAAAGCTCGATAAAACCCGAGCAGAAAGCTTGGGTGGAGCCTTAATTTTCTGACCGAACTTTTGCTCGGTCTGACTAAAGCCAAAAAAAGCCCGCCTTACAAATGCTCAAGCCAAGTTCGAGCCAAAAATTTTGGCTCGCGAGCCGACTCGTTGACATCTCTAGAGGCATCTCAGATTTTCAAAATTCACTAAGTTTTCAATCAAATACTAGCAGGTGATTTTTCGGACCTTAAATACCAAAAGTGCAAGCTTTTAACAGAGTTTCATTCACCATTAGAGGCGGATCAAACAATGGCAGGCCTAGGCTATAGTCCAGCCTTGCCTCCAACCCACATGGTAAGACAAAAGAATTTTTATGGTTAAATTGGCCCAAATTCAATATTAGCCCATGTTCATATTGAGTCTCAGCCCAATTCCAATTATCCACATATGATATTAATGAAATGTGAACATTACCAAATTAGATTTTTATTTAATGCATTTTAATTTTAATTATATATTTATAATAAATAAAATTGTATTGATTAGAGTTGAAACAAATTACTTATTTTATTAGTAGGAGATACTAAATATTTAGCTAAGCTTAAAGTAATTAAATCTTTTAATTCTAAAAATATTTTCATATATAACTTATTCATACTTATAAGAAAGAAATTTAGGGTCCGTTTGATTATAAAGATGTAATTGAATTCAATTGAAAACAAATTCAATGGAATTAAATTGTTTAGAAATTATTTTCCTGAGAAATTATTGTATTTGATTAATATAATTTTTCACGTGGAAAATGTTGAAATAAATTTATTTTTTAGTGTTCGTTTGTCTTTAATTTACTAGTATTGGGGATGAAATTTATTTTAATTGTCTACCAAAAAAATAAATAAATCAAGAAAATCAACTATCTTTGGGTGTTCGTTTGACTTTGTTTTACATAAAATTTGTTAGTTAAAGAGAAATTTTTTTTACAATAATTCTTAGAATTTGTTTCCATTGCCAACAAAATAATAATAATAATAATAATAATAATAATAATAATAATAATAATATCGAAAAAAATGCTATAGTAACCCGGAAAATGAATTCTCACAAATATGGTGAGAATTCGAATTCAAGAAAAAGCTAGAAAATGTTGACATGGCTGCCAAAGGTGGAAAACGAATTCCTTGAAAAATTTTGTCAATCAAACAGGCCAAAAGTGAAAGTTTGAATTTGTTTTCCATTTTCCTTATAAAATAAGTGGCTATCAGACATAGCCTTAGAATATGTTTGATAGGTGAAAATTTTCCCTAAAAAATGGAAAATCAATTCCATCTTCAATGTTAAGAGTGTCTAATAACCAAAATTTTCCCTAGAATTCTATTTCCAAGTTTCTTGTCACATAAGCCATTTTCTAGGTTTTCCTTGAATTGGAATTCTCATCCAATTCTAGTCACTGAAGCTTTTTTTTTTTGTTGGCAATGGAAACAAATTATAAGAAATATTGTAAAAAGATATTTCCCTTTAATTGATAATTTCCATATAAAACACAGTTAAACGAACACAAAAAGATAAATGATTTTCCTTATTATTTATTTATTTATTTTTTGCAGTGGAAACAAATTCCATCTTCAATACCAGTAAATTCTATTCCTTTATTGACGGTTTTCATATAAAACAAAATCAAACGAATACCACAAAATACTTTTATTTCAAAATTTTCTACACAGAAAATTATATCAATTAAATACAATAATTTACAATTTCCAAGAAAACAATTTTTAGGCAATTCAGTTCCCTGGAATTCATTTTCTTTCCATCCAAATTTCATCTTCGTAATCAAACGGACCCTTATTTATTTTGACCATGAAATAAATGTTACTTTCAAAATAAGTAAATTACTTTATATTTAATCTTATAATAAAAAAAATATTTAAAAGAACTTATTCATATATAAATAATAAGATTATGTGTATATTATAGAAGTCGATCAAACATGGACGTGAAAGAAATAAATTTTTTTACCCTCGAAATTCCTTGTCTTTGTTTTTCTTTGGTTGGATTCTTTACTCGCCGTGGAATGTGTTGGTATAAAGTCCACATTAAATAATCTTTTGAGAATGGTGGAGTACAATAACATATTTTCGATTGCCTTTTTGGGTCAAACCTTTCAGCTGTTTGGATTAGCTGGTTGTAAAATTCTTTAGAATAGTACTCATTAAGTTTTTTTTTTTTTTATTGGTGGATATATAACACTGGCTTATGTTTATCATGCTTATATCAGTTTATAATTTCTAAGGTGAGCGTAATCTTCTAAACTCGATATATTATAATGTAAGTTTATTTAGAATTTTGAAATTTTAGCCCACCCCTTAATCATTTTCTGGCTTCGCCCTTGTTCACCATAACAAAAGCATGGAGGTTGGACATATTCTGGAAATTAAAGAGATTAACCAACCAATCAACTGAGAATAAACAACAAACAAGAGAATTATCGATCATTTGCAGATTACAGAATACAACAGTACCCAATTCTTGTTCCAAGTAAACTTGGGGTCAGTTACATGAATTCCTTTTTGTCATCGCTCATTCAATCCAAAAGTACCTCTTATGAAATGTCCAATGAAATCAATCTTTTGCAACTCCGTAACGTAACATTAATTTGGTCTAGCTATTCCTCTTTTAACATAAAAGGGAGTGCATATTTTACATTTTCTTCCCTTTTTCTGTCTGTACGTTCAAAGGAGGGGGCAGGGGTAAAGCACTCCGGGACAGGCTAATCTTATCAATTTCGAGTTAATTAAAGATTTTGGTTATGAAAAAAAACAATCTCTTGTACATGAAATTACAGTCTTGTGGTCTAACAATAAAAGTGACAACGATTTATTCTTGGAAGGCAAGGATTTATTCTTGGAAGGCAAGTGGGAACTTGGAAGGCAAGGATTATTCTTGGAAGGCAAGGTGCAACTTGGATTGACTTGCTTGGCACTTTGTCAGACCAGGTGGGGAGCGCTCGGACCCTGGCCAGTTGGAGGCACATCCTGCGATTAACCGGAC